CATTGCAATGTATTCTCGAAGCAATTAATGAAAAAACTTATATGAAATTGTAAGAACAGAAGACTAGCCTAAGATGAATCAACAAGAAGATGAATTATCTGTGGAAGAGAACATGAAGAGTAATTTAAAGGTATGATAGAAAATTTCTAGATAGAAGCTATATGTAATTGTGTTTGATATTTAGCCACGTGGATGGAATGTAATGGACAAATTATACAGTTTATACATGAAAAAAAACATTAAATATCAAGCACAATGACAATTATATCCTTGAATATTACAACAGCACCGTCTTATTACAACAGCACCGTCTTATTATATATATACTATTTATTACTTTTCATTGAGATTGTGAGATCTGGAAAATGAATGAAACATACAAGATACCAGATATTAAAATTCAGTACATGAAGATGAGCAAGTCTCCGAAGATGAGCAAGTCTCCATTGACGACGAAGCAAGAAGTTTGTTGATCAAAAATTGTCCTAATGTTAAAATTTGAAATGAAATTAAAAATCTTATTGTTGTTATCTCATAAAATTAAAAAATGGAAAGAACAAAATGCCAAAAATGTAGAACTTCGATATATTGATGACCTCGTCACCGATGGCCGCTTCCACTCTCGAGTATAAGCAACTCGAGATCTGATTCAGATTCCAATTCTTCTAGTAATTCTTCAGATTATAGTATTGATAATAATGTTGATATTACTACTAATAAATGTGCTAATTGTCCACGTGATAGTTGTTCTTGTGGGCAAGATGAATTTTATAAATTGCAATCTCAAATGGAAGATTCTTACTTAGATAAATTACATCAAAGTTTTGAAGAATTAACTTTTAAAATGATTTCTTCAGAAAATGTTATTGAACTTTTAAAAGATGTTTCAGATGAAAATTTTCGAAACAAAATTTTAGAAATGACTTCTTCAAAACCCTCTTCTTCAAAAAGCTTTGAAAAATCGAAAAAGAATGAAGAAAAAACTTTTGAAAATTTCAATTACAATGCTAGTCCTTACTCTCTTCAAGAGGTTTTTTCCAGACTTGAAAAGAAAGGAACAGGTATTGTAAGAGATACTTCTCGTGATGATTTAAAATATGAGGTTGAAAACCTTAAAAAAGAAATTAAATCTTTAAAACAAAATCAGTTGATTAATAATCATCGTATTTCTCAACTAGAAAATGATATTCCTATTTCTGATAAAGGAAAAGCTGTTATGGATAAAGAGATTAATGAATCTCTTAGTCCTAAATTTCTGGGGATGATGCAAATTGTTACCGCTCATCGATGGTATATAAAATGCACCATTCTTATTGATAATAATTTTAAAGTTACAAGTATTGTTATGATTGATAATGGTGCTTATGTAAGTTGTGTTCAGGAAGGATTAATTCCTTCGAGATTTTTTGAAAAAACTACTCATATTGTCAAATCTGCTTCAAATTATGCTTTAGACATAAAATATAAATTGTCTAAAACTTTCATTTGCCAAAGTAAAGTTTGTATTCCTCACTTTTTCTTCATGGTAAAGATCCAATTATATTTGCCAATTATACTTGACACTCCTTTTATTAATGCTTTATATCCCTTTTCAAAATTAAATGCAAAAGGTTTTACTGCGAATTATAATGGTAATACCATTAATTTTGATTTCATAACTGAACCAGTTACTAAAGATATTAACTCTTTAATTCATTCAAAACAAAAGCATATTGAGTCTTTACAAATGAAAATTTATAGTCTGAATATTTTAGAGTCTTTACAATCTCTTAAAGTTCAAGAAAAAATTAAATTGATTTCTGAAAAAATAGCGGCTGATATTTGTGCAAATCATCCGAATACTTTTTGGGACAGGAAAAAACATATTGTGACTTTGCCTTATGACGATTCTTTTTCTGAATCAAATATTCCTACAAAATCTCGCCCCTGTCAAATGAATGCGGAGTTAGACGATTTCTGTAAAAAAGAAATTGATAATTTATTACAAAAGGGCCTTATAAAACCCTCTAAATCTCCATGGTCTTGTACTGCCTTTTATGTTAATAAAGCTGCAGAACAAGAAAGATGTGTTCCTAGATTAGTAATAAATGATAAACCTCTGAACAAAGTTTTATAATGGATAATGTATCTCATTCCAAATAAAAAGGATCTTCTTTCCAGATTATATGATGCCAATATATTTTCAAAATTTGATTTAAAATCAGGTTATTGGCATATTCAAATTTTTAAAGAACATACTTATAAAACTGCGTTTAATATTCCTTTTGGTCAATACGAATGGAATGTTTATGCCTTTTGGTTTGAAAAACGCACCTTCTGAATTTCAAAAAATTATGAATGATATTTTTAATCCTTATATGGATTTCATAATTGTTTATATTGATGATATTCTTTTTTATTCTAAAACATTACAATCTCATATAAAGTATCTTGATATTTTCAAGAATATTGTTATTCAAAATGGTTTGGTTATATCCAAAACCAAAATGAGTTTTTTCAAATAGATGTAAGATTTTTGGGTCATCAAATTTGTCAGGGAAAAATTATCCCTATTCAAAGATCCATTGATTTTGCATCAAAATTTCCTGATGAAATAATTGATAAAACAATGCTACAAAGAATTTTGGGTAGTTTAAATTATATTTCCCCATTTTATAAAAATTTATCTAAAGATCTTGCTCCGTTGACTGACAGGTTAAAGAAAGGTAAAATGTTACCTTGGAATAATAATCTTACTAATTTGGTTAAATCCATCAAGCAAAGAGTTAAATATTTGCCTTGTCTTACCCTAGCAAATCCAAATTGGATTAAGATTGTTGAAACTGATGCTTCTAATATTGGTTATGGTGAAATCATAAAGCAAATTAATCCTCATGACAAAGTTGAATATCTTGTTAGATTTCATTCGGGCAAATGGTCTGAATCTCAGCGCAGATATGCGACTTTTGCTCATGAAATGCTTTGTATTGTTAAATGTGTTTTAAAATTTCAAGATTATTTATATAATCAAAAATTCATTATAAGAACTGATGCTCAATCAGTCAAATTTATGTTTGACAAAGATATTAAACATGACATTTCGAAGTTAATGTTTGTCAGGTGGCAATCACAATTTTCCCCCTTCGACTTCAAAATTCAGTATAAAAAGGGGACTGATAATTTACTTCCTGATTTCCTATCAAGAGAATTCTTGAATTAATAATTTCTTTGTTTAGTATGTCCACTTATCAGTATTTTCTTGGCGACAACACTCTTATTACAATTCTAAGAGTTCTACCTTTAGATAATGATATAAAGGGAAAAAACATAGATATAACTATCGAAGATTTAGTTATGGATTTTTTTATAGAAGGGTCACAATTCTCTGACCTTTCCCTCGCTAATAATGAGTGGGAACTTGATGTTTCTGGATATTTCTCAGATTTGTACTAATCTGTTTCTTCTATTTTGCAGCATGGGAGACACTGATCCTCCGCCATGGTCACAAGTGTGTGGTCGTGGAGGAAGAAATCGAGGAATAGGAAGATCATCCTCTTTGCAACAAACAAGGTCGTCATACAACTCTTCCTTTCCTGTTATACAGCTAGGAAGTAAAACATTGATTAAATCAAAGATTGGCGAAGCTTCTTCATCAGCTTCATCTTTGATAAATCTTAAGGATATTCCTAAAGATAGTTTATTATATGAACAAATTCAAGCATATTTGCAAGAAAAAGAGCAAGGTTCTACCTACGCCTCTTTAGCCAAAGAGACTGACCCAGTCAGTGTTCCAGAAGAAACGGCGAAAAAAAAATTATATTTCTTTTAGAAAACTCTGATATTCAGAGAAGCAATGAGCCTTGGAATATACTCCAAAGGTACTTAACAAAGGTATTATATTTCCCTGGAGAAGCTTTCAAGACTCGAACATATTATGAGTCTATTCTAAGTTATACTGGAAGTGCTGAATTTTAGCATTTCATTTCTGAATTTTATAAGAATGTTTATAACTTCTCCAAAATCACTATTAAGCAGATTATTTATGTCGAAGATTGTGGGATCTCCACTATGCAGGAGAGACAAGTTTCCGTGAATGGTATAAACATGAATTTTACATACTGAGATTATATCCAGGCCTTTCACAAAATATTTTTTTTATAATAATAATAAACTTAAGCACACATGATTCTTAAAATTATGTGCTCAAGTATTTACTAAAAATTTACCAAATTGGTTCATAAATTGGTGGTCTATTCATGGCCCGACGGTAAAAATTTTACCTCATAATTTTTATACTTTATACAAACAATGGGAAAAAAATTTTCCCGTTTCTAACTGATTTATTTTTGCAAGATCATATCTCAAATATTGAGAAAATTGATCAAATGTATTTCTTTATAGAGTTTTCTATTCCATGGATCCATAAATGGGTTCCAGAGGTGGGTTATACCCCAATAGAAAACATTCCGTGTTTATATCGTAAACATTTTACAAATTTTTGGGACAAGTTAAACAGACAAAGACCCGGCAACCAGAAAGTTATATGGGCAAGAATTATTGGACTTTATCAGCAATACTATTAAAAGTTATCAGAACTCTCCTCAAAAGAGCATCTCTACCGGGAGTTCGATCAAACATATTGCTAGAAGAATTTTCATCCAAGATGAAAATAGAGAAGAAATGATAAATAATTATTTGGAAGAGATTAAAAAGAACTTGTTAACAAATATTGTTGAATTTGATAAATCAGTCACTTCTATGAGGAGTGGACAAAGTTATGCACAATCTGTCGATCATAATGTTGAACTATCAGAAGGACAGTTACAGAAGGTAGAAGACTTTTTGGCATCAATAAAAGACCAAGATGGTACAATAATAAAGACTTTAAAAGGAAAGGATAAGATTTAAAGTCTTTCTTATCAAAAACCTTATCAAGTACAGTATATTACTGTTCAATAATATTATTTAAAACATTATGTAGGGCCTATATGAGGACCCCATTTTACTTTTCTTTTTCTATATAAGGAGCCTCATTCGGAGGTGTAGAGATAAGTTTGAAAAAGTGTAAGTTTTTAAGTTTCATCTCTCTAGTTTCCTCTCTCTTGTAAAACTCTCTTGTGAGCAATAATAAAAATCTTTTGGATTGAAGATCAGTCTTCAAGGTATTTTCTTTTGTTTCTTTTATTATTTTCTTTTATGATTACCGCCTCCATGGCCGACTAAGATAATTTTCATATGTATGCTAGCTTCATAATTTCTGTACGATGTTCTTGTTCAATATCTTGATCTAATCAAGTTATAATGAATATACAAAATGGCTTGTTTATATCTAAACCAAAAATGCAAATTTTTCAAACAACTGTGAGATTTTTGGGTCATAATATTGAAAAAGGAAAAAATATTCCTATTCAAAGAAGTATTGAATTTGCATCAAAATTTCCTAATATTATAATTGTTGAAGTTCAGCTTCAGCGATTTTTAGGAAGTCTAAATTATATTTCTCCTTTTATAAAGGTTTAGGCAAAGATACGTCAATATTGTATGATGGACTTAAAAAGAATCCTAAATCATGGACTGAAGATCATACAAGAGCAGTCCAGCATATTAAAAACCAGGTTCATAACATATCATGTCTCACTTTGGCCAATCCCAATTGGAAAAAAATAGTTGAGACAGATACTTCTGATATAAGTTACGGGGGAATTTTAAAACAAATTTCTCCTATTGAAAAAAGGGAATATCTTGTACAATTTTATTCAGGAAAATGGAATCATAGCCAAAAAAATTATGTTACGATAGCTAAAGAAATTTTAGCTATAGTAAAAAGTGTTTTAAAATTATAAGGAGATTTATATAATCAAAAGTTTATTATAAAAACTGATTGCCAAACAACTAAATTTATTTTTAGCAAAGATGTAAAACATGATGTATCCAAACAAATGTTTGCAAGATGGCAAGCTTTATTATTCCCATTTGATTTTGAAATATATTATAAGAAAGGAGCAGATAATAGTCTCCCTGACTTTCTTACTAGAGAATATTAGATTAATAAACTCTTATTACAGGATAATGGGACCATTCTGAAATTCTTCCTCTAATAGAGGAAGAGAAAGAGGACGAGGAAGAACAATGCATACGGGAAACAATAATATTCTGGCTCAATTAGGAAATCAAAGGATAATAGCCGCAAATATTACAGGAACATCTACTGGAATATTAGGAATTGATGCCAATCATCCAATGTACAGAGAATTTATTAATTTTATACAATACAAACAACAAACTCAACCATCATATTCATCTATAGTTAATGAAAAAGCTATAGAAAATGTGAAAATATATGATAAGAACAAGATAGATTAAATAGTACTCATTTTAGAACCAAGGGATCTACAATGGAGAGATGATCCTTGGCAAATAATGACAAGATATTTTGATACAACGTCATATGCTGTACCTACTTATAAATAGAGGATGCATTATGAGATTATACTCTCACCAATGGGGTCTGCTGAATTTCAGCATTTCTACCCAGCGAATACCAAGAAAGTTTATAACTTTTCAAAAATCATAATAAAAAGGATAGTTACTCTTGAAGAATGGGGAACAAGCACTATGAAGGAATAAGAATATACTCACCCGGAACAAAAGACTGTAGTTAAATTTTATATTAAAAGCTTTAATAAAGCTTTATTATACGAAAATTCTAATAGAAAGCATTCATGGTTTATTAAAATTTGTTCTAATAACTTTAATAAACAGATACCGAATTGATTTTGTAAATGGTGGACTTTATACGGTCCTACATTAAATATTCTTCCTGAAGAATACAAAAAATTAGATGGTGAATGGATAGATGTTTCATCTAAAGTTATACAATTACAGCAACAGGATATATATATATTTTAAAGGAATATCCTTAATATATATTTCTTAGAATTTTCAATTCCTAGGATAATGAAATGGACAAAAAAAGTTCAAGCAGATGAACAGGGATTTTCGTGTTTAAAAAGAAATTTCATACAACATTCTGGAGTAAATTACTCCAGAAGGATGCAGAAGTACAACTTCATGGCAGAGAAATAATAGACTCTATAAAAAATTCAATAGAGAATAATAAAAATCAGACCGACACAATAGTTGGGAAGGAAGAAATTAGTCCTTTCAAACAAATATTTTGAAAAATACAGATGAAAGGAGGAATAATTTCTAGATCTGAAATTCTTACTTCATATATGGAAGAAATAAAAAAAGATTTAATAAAACATTTGGAAAAAAATGTTACAGATGATATGTCAGTAACAACTTCTAATGAAGATGAAGATAATTGCTTAGCAGGAGAATCTCAAAATCTTGGAGAGATACACATAGAAGAATTCCTGCAACAATTTCGAAATCAAGTGGAAGAATCTTCCAACACAAAAGAATCCAAAGGCAAAGGAATAGCAAAGGACTAAAAGGACGGAATAAATTGTTAATATTAAAAACTTTTATAAAGTAGTAGGACCCTATGTCGGTTCAATAATATAATATGATGTAAGCACTTATGTCATAGTTTTTAACATTTTATTAGATCCTTCTCTATAAAAGGATCCTTTTTCTATTTTTTAAAGCAGGCACGGAGCCACACATCTTTGCTATTCCTCTTTCTACTCTTGTAAATTTCTTCTTTTAAGTTAAATAAAATTTCAGCCGTTCTTGCTATCTGCTATTGAAGATCTACTTAAGGTATTATTGTTGTTGTTATTATTATTATTATTATTATTTCAAAATTATTTTTATTTTCATCTAGCCTAAATAATAGGCTAAACACTTACTGACATATTAATATCAACCTAAACTATGATAATATGGAACTTGGACTGTTTCGATGTTTCTAGGGTTGAAGTAGTGTTGTCCGAGAGTGGGAAGATCTTGGCTTAGTCCGCAATTCCTATTGAGGCCCATGTTAAGCCATGTTTGAGGTGTTGTTTGGGCTATATTGGTATCGTAAAAGATCCTTTCATCCTCGGACTATCTAACTCATAAACGAACCGGTAGTTACATTAAAGCGATCCTGTCATATTTGGTTCCAAATGTTCAGATATGTATGGCCGTGCAGACTACCGCCAACCTTGAAATTTAGCATGTTTTGGAACTGAGTAGGATTATGGTATCAGAGCCATGTGGTCAGTAGTAGTAGGTGATGTTAATCTGTTAGGATTTAATTATAAATATCATAAAAAAACAAGCTACTGTTCTAAACAGTAGAAAAGAAGAATATGAAAGTTAAAGATATCATTAGATCTGTTTTTTAAGATCTACTTAAGGTATTATTATTATTATTATTATTATTATTATTATTTCAAAATTACATTTATCTTCATCTAGACTAAATGATAGGCTAAAACTTACTGACATATTAATATCAACCTAAACTATGGACAACATGGAACTTGGACTGTTACGATGTTTCTAGGGTCAAAATAGTGTAGTTCGAGAGTGGGAAGATCTTGGATTAGTTTGGAGTTCCTGTTGACGTCCATGTTAAGCCATGTGTGAGGCGTTGTTTGGACTATATTGGACTGTTACGATGTTTCTAGGGTCGAAATAGTGTAGTTTGAGAGTGGGAAGATCTTGGATTAGTCTGGAGTTCCTGTTGACGTCCATGTTAAGCCATGTGTGAGGCGTTGTTTGGGCTATATTGAAACCGTAAAATATCCTTCCATCCTCGTACTCTCTAACGCGTAAACGAATCGATAGTTACATCGAAGTGATCCTGTCGTATTTGGTTCCAAATGTTAAGATCTGTATGGCCGTGCGGACTACCGCCACCCTTGAAAGTTAGCATGTTTTAGAACTGAGTAAGAATATGGTATCAGACCCATGTGGTCAGTAGTAATAGTTGATGTTAATCTGTCAGGATTTAATTATGAATATCATAAAAAAAGAAGCTATTGTTAATAATAGTAGAAAAGAAGAATATGATATGCCTCAACAACTTGATCTCCTTAATAAATGGACAATTCCTAAAATACAACCTAGGATAATATACCAAATGGGAAAATTTGAAAAAATGAGATTTAAACAAATTGTTAAAACAACTGAAAAAACTATTACTGTGGATTTTGGCCATAGTACTTTAAGACTTCTTTCTGAAAATGATTTTGCCCCTTATAGGGAAAATTATTGATTTATGCATATTGCTCTGGTACAAGTTTCTTTTAAGCCCCTTATATTAAGAGGCTTACCAGAGAGCTTTATAGAAGCTCTAAGAGATGGAAGAAATCAGAATTGGAAGAAATCTCTTATAGGGACTGTGCAAACTAGTTTGACTTATGGTCCTGTTTACTTTAATGCTTATCCTAATTTGCAGATCTCTTTAAATGACGAAAATTCACTTAATACTTTAATATTGAGTAATAAATTGCATGGGTATGATTACTAGCCTGGTAATAAAGTTATATGTATTTGTTATAGAATTTACTCTAAACCTTTATATACTTTAAATCCTATGTGTAAAATTATGGATTTTAAAAAAGAGACAATTTTAATAGAAATTTTTTTTAGCAAATGGGATAAAATTGATTTTCCTAAAGAATGTGTTATTGAGGAAGATGTTTCTTCAAGAAATAATATAAATTTGAATATATCTGATATTGAACAGACTCCAGATTAAATGGTAAGGATCAAATTTAATGATCAGAATTTATTGATAAGTTATACCATTAGTATAGGATTGCAGGCCAGATTGCCTAGATCTAACTCTTCTCATATTTTTCCAGTAGATATATTGTTAACATTCTACTAGGGCTTCGATGTCCCAGATAAAAGATGAGGATAATTCCAGATTCTCAATTTCTAATACAAAAGAAGGTGAACGAATTGATAACATCAAAATAGAAAATCATATTGTCACTCCTGATATGGATAAACCTACTTTTTCAGAAATGAACTTTCCAAATGGTTATTATTAATCTAAAGGAACAACTTGATTTTAGATCGGGATCACCGGTACGAAAGAAAATTTCAAATGAATTTTTTCAACCTAAATGGAAACCATTTAGAGAATGGTTTTTTCAAAAATTTTGATAATAATCTGCAGACTTTTTTACAGAACGATTTTTATAAAGACATTTCTGAAGCTAATAAAGCTATTGCATTTGTACCATGGTCATGAAAAAATACATTTATAAGTATATTTGCATGTTAGAACGTGATGATAAATTGCCAGATGGTGCGATTACTAAATCATTTTTGTCACCTCAACAATTTTTCCAAATTGAGAAAGATAATAAGATTGTTCATTTCACAGCTTTTGCAGATTTATTTAATGATGATACTGCTTTATTTACTAATAAATATATAACAATTCTTATACAACAAAGTACTTATAAAAATGTTTATATGAGCATTTTAGGGGAACATATCCTCTCTTTGAATGATAAGGTCAGTCATATATGCTCTATCATAGAAAAGTCTAAAGTCTCTGACAAAGGCAAGGAAAAAGCCACTGCAAGTATCCAGCCTCCACATGAGATAAAGGATTTTAAGTTATCAAAACATGATAATATTGAAAAATGGTTAGAGGAGAAGTATAAAAAAGATCTACAACTCAATCCTCTTCATGTTATAGACGATAGTAAGAATAATATTCCTGATGAGATTAATAAAATCTCAGAAAAACATTCCAGAATGCCGATCCAAAGGATGTTCTATTATCCTAGGACAACCCCTCAGGATATTCTTTTAGAGGAACAAGAGTATATTGTCTCTAATAGTTTCAGTGGAACAGAAATCTATGAATGGAATATTCATGGCTTTACGGATAGGATGTTTTTTACGTTGGCTCATAAAATTCTCACACCATTTGCAAAGCCAACATAAATTCTGAAAAGGATACTGCTAATAAGATTATTGCCGGATTCACAAGGCAACTAAAAGGATGGTGGAATAATTATCTCACATAGGCTAAGAGGATGGCCATTTTAACTGTAGTAAAAAAAGAAAATAGTTTAGTCCCCAATATAGTTTATACACTAGTTGTAACCATTATAGAACATTTTTCTGGAAGATGGTCATATAATAGTGAGACCATTAGGACTATGCTCCAAAACCTTAAATGTAGAATACTAACTTCCTTTAGATGGTATAAGGATGTATTCCATTCTCGAGTTATGGAGTTACCTGGGTGTAACAGTTTTCATTGAAAATCCAAATTTATATATGGACTCCCTACTTTATTTGCAGAAAGTATTAGGAAAATCCTTAGGGGAGATGGAATAAGCATAAATTATGATAGTTATACC